TAAAAAAAAACGAACGAGGATCTTTAATAAATCAGTTAATGCTCCGGATGGACGAAGGGTTTAGTAATATTTTGATTTTTCGTAACATGGCGGACGTTCAAAGTCAAATTTTTTTTTTTACCCAAATTTTCGTCACTTTTTCGGCTGTAAAAAAAAAACTTTCATCGTACGAAAAATCTTCGTCCATCCAGAGGACAATTATACGTAAAATAAGTCGTTAAAATTTCAAGAGGATCGATATAACCGTTTTCGAGTTTCAGTGATCACCGACTTGGAGAACGTGGTTTCGAGAAAAACGCGTTTAAAGTTTTGAGTATAGTTTACATGCAGATAAAAATTTTTTTTACATACCTATACCGTATCATCTATTCCAGGACCATACAATGTACCTTCCTTTTGCTTATCAGCTACCCCAGCAACGATTTTCTTCCGTCGTAGAGCAACTCTGGCCTCTCGAGTGTTTTCCAACGAACGTCGGTTCGACACTTTTAAGTTCGACGTTTTTAAGCACTCGAGGTAGGTGTGTTCTAAGTTGTATATCTCGGTGAATAATGGTCCGATTGGTCTAATAATTTCAGGGAATACTTTCAAAATGTTATACTTTTAGAAAATGTAATAAAAAAAAATCGATTTTTTGAAAATCATGACTGGGCCTAACCCCTTAATGACCTAACTACCAAGCGCAATCACCATAATTAATGTTGGTATCCCATTTATTCCAGAAATCCGTTTGATACTACGATAGCGATCAACCAATCACTTCTACCACCGATTTCCATACTCAACTTTAAGTAGCCCCATGTTCACGGCTTTTTATCTGAGATACCCTGTACGAATATCGTAGGCGGCTTCAATCAGTTCCTAAACCGGAAGCTGAAATTCGGCCTTACCACTGATACCTGTGCACCCAAATCTAACAGCGCTGTATAGACTATATCGACCTTAATATAGAACCTGTTCTCAACTACTGCGACTAACGCTGCATCCGATTCATTTACCGTTTAGTTACGAAGTCGTAAGTTACCCTGAGACTCTCCCCTCACCGAAACGGACGGTGCATCGGTTGCAACAACCAAACATCCTATTAATACGAACCCATCATCCACAAGCTTACTTATACTGCGCGCGGCTGCGACCTTTGTCAAAGCTCGCTCCGACAAATTATGTTGATATTTCCTAGTATAAAGGTATTTATCAATTTTGTAAAAAAATAGTAGGTTGTCAGGCATTTCTAACACGAGATTCTTATTCAGCGAAGATAAATACGAGTATGTGAAAATATGCATTCAGTTTGTCAAATTTGGATACTTACTTTGTCGGAAGCTATTACTACGAGTACATTCGGTTGAAATTATAGTTGATGAGTGTAATGTTTTACCTCTCGTATGTCAGCCAAATATTAATGAAAAAATTCTGAAATAAATGCGCATAAGCAAGATACTCAAAAGTAAATGTTTATTTTGAAATAATTCTATACATATACGGGATGGACCATTTTAATGAACCAAGTAAGTTTTTCTCAGAAACTATGAGAGTTAGCGAAAAAGGGTTCAAATGAGCGTTGCTCAACTTCGAGAGGGATATATCCTTATGAGCTTGCCTTTGACCTTTGAGGTTATGTTCAAGGTGATTTTAAGGTCAACCTTTTTTTTTTAAATAGGAAATTCTATTTTCTATCTTCTATTTGGAAAAAGCGGGAAATTCGTTGTTCAAAGAAGGTAACATAGTTAAGGTCCACATGACCTCCAAGGCCATGTAGAGATCTGTTTTATTTTTTTATTTTTTCCACCTGAATGTGTCGGAAAGGATAAGGTTAAGCGAAAAGTGTTTTAAACCAATGTTGTTCAACTTTGAAGGGAAGAATATATCCCTATGACCTTGTCTTTGAACTTTAAGGTCATATTCTAGGTCATTTCCAGTCATCTAATTCGTTTTTTTAATGGGAATCCTTCTTATCGATTCCGAATTCGGAGTAAGCGGGAAATTTTACATCTCAAGTGATGTAAAAAAAGTAAAAATATTACATTAAAAAAGATATTAGCCCAATAACCAAACAAAAAATTTTACTTTCATTTTACATTTATTTTATTTTTACCAATCATGGCAAAGTCAAATATAGGTTAAGTTAATAACAAGAATTGTAAGATATTGTAATGGTTATTTTCTTTTACTAAAGACGTGACATGATCAAATACAACTTAAGTTTGCTATTTTTGAAGCCATTTATAATGCATATTCTAAATATTATTCATTTAACTTTAAATTAATTATTCGGCGTTATTTCCATTTTTCTTCAAGGCATAAAATTAACTACCTCTGGAAATGACGAACGGTGCTAAGTAAAGATTCTTTTGGTATTGCAGCGCATACTTGATGAATGCAATCTTGCATATCTTCTCTATTGATAGGTTGTTGTTCAAAAATAATATTTTTTAAATAGCCTTATAAAAAAAGTCTGGGAATATGAAGTCAGGTGAACTTGCAGGCCAGTTAACTGAAGCTTCTCGTCTAATCCATTTACCATTGTAAATTTTATACAATGAAGTAAAATTGTAGGTACGCCTGTTGTCGAATTGTTGAAATGGCACAATGCTACTGTAACGGTGTGCCATTCCAGAACCAAGGATCTTCCTGCTGTCGTGAGTTTTTTAATATTTTTAATAAGCTATTACATAATAATGTTTTTATTTAATATCGAAATATTTTTTGTTTCCATTCATAGGTCTGCAGCGCTTGAGCTCGCTTTCTCTGACAGCAAGTCTATTGTAGGTTCATCTGTATTTCTGAAGACAACGACTTTTTTCGAAGCCTGCTCTATCGTAGGCAAAATACTCGAACCTGCCTCTCTCGCATTCGTGTCAAACAACGAGAACTTACTTTGTTGCGCTTCACATTTGCCGGGCAAGCTAGTTGTCGCACGCTGACGATCGCTTAAGCCCGACAGCAAATTCAATGCGTTCATACCGTCTTCACCTGAAAAGTGGAGAGATTAGGCGTTGAGTGCGCTTAATCCGTCTACAGGTATATCGTTGATATAGCTGACTCGCGGGGGGCTGCTTTCTTTGCCTGATTTCTCCTCATTAGTCGGCCTACCATTTCGCGGTGACCTAATTTTGTTAGCGTCGCAGATATTCGTATCCGACGGAAAAGTAATTGTGTTACTCGCGCTATAAGTCTTCTCACTTTTTGGCGGTTTTTGACTAAGCTGCGGCACGCAAACTGCATACTTTTTATTAACTACCGAGTCCTGAATCGACGAAGTTATTTGCGCTTTACCCATAATAGCCGCTTGTACCCCGCGCTCCCAGCTCTCAACCCAAGAACTTACTTTGGGTGCCAAGTACGTTGTGCTCATCGTTCATTAAGATTGGTCGCGGTAAGCGTGCTATCTGCTCATGCGCTCGCATGCACCGGTCGCTCAATCGCAGCCGCTGACAGATTAAGAACTACTCGGCCGCTGGGCGGCTCTGTCTGAAGCGGTATTGAAGCCTGCTGCCTGAGTCGCCCCACCGTAGATCGCCTGCCTTTTTACCCTAAAAACTGTATTCGCCATCTATGATGCCCTGCCTAACCTCTCGCCTATATTTCCAGGAATTGCTGTAATGGCCTTCCAGATGTGGCTCAGCGCACTCATGCTACGTTCGCCCTGATCTCGCGCGTCCTGCTCGCACACGCAGCTATCTACGCTAGCTGACGGCAGGCAAGCTGCTGACGGTAACGTATTTTCATTGGGCACAGCCATGCTTCTGCCCGGCGACTGAGTTTGCCCGTGAAGAACGGCCGTACTTCTTATCGACGCCACCTATTCTTGCTTACGCTGCAATTCACCCGCCGAGGGCGTAGCATTTATCGCGAGCTCTTCGCCGACATCTGCTCCTCCGCCGCTACTTCCTGCTGTTCATCATACAGCAAGTCCGAGATTCAGCCCGATGCGAAATCACCCGAATGCAACGGCAGTTGCAAATCTGGTCACTCCTTAATCAACAGATATTAAATATATCAATCTCGCAGTTCTTCCAAATCATCGAGCGAGACAAGTCCGCGATAGCTCATCAATTATAACAGAACAACCGATTCTGCTAAATCGATTTTACGTTTTAAGTTCTTACCGTGCGCGTCGTGTAATATTCTGTGCATAATTATTCAATCTCCACACACTAGTGACATTATTGCATTTGGAAAAAAAATTTCTATGCGCGAACTGTAACGCAAGCTACTGGGACAAAACGTGCCTCGTCTGCGAACTATGTAACCCGACACTCCCAAAATACCTTATCTGAAAATCCTTTTAAGCTCTGAGCCGGTGAGAGATCACCTTGCTTAAGCCTAAAGTAACAAAACAATTCAATTATCGAAAATGTACTTAAAATATTATATTAAAATAAGGTAAATAAAAAATAAGTAAACAGACCACAATCTAATAACTAAAACCAAAACAAAACAAACGAAATTCGAGCGGTACTGCGTCCGCATCTGGAGTCAGAGTCACTCATTGACTCACATGCGATCACCTGATACTTCGACGAACACAAACAAGAAAGGTTTACCTGGTAGGTCACTATATAGACATATGTGTGTGTGTGTGTGTGAGAGTGTGAGTGAGCAAACACGGAGAAATAAAATTAAAAAAACACTTTTTGAGCTGATCTTAATTATTACTCAACAAAAAAGTTATTCTCTATAATTTTATTACTTCTTAAAATATAGCCTTTTGAAAAAATGTTACTATTATTTTAAAAAATTGATGACTTAATTTAATTTTTGTATAAAAAATTTGGAGAAATTATAGAAATTATATCCTATACACATACAAAAATAGAACAAAGTATAAAAAAATTCATTATCTCTGGCCAAAATATTAAGCTAAGAATTATTTATAAATGGATTCTATGCGCATTTTTGCTCGTTCACATCTTTTATCGATTGTATAGTATAAGCTAAGATTAACTGGAAATAGATAAGATACAGAAAAAAATGAAAAGTATTTCAATTTTTCTTACATATTTTGGTACTTGCTGCTGTCACAATCATTGTCCAATAATCCGTTCGTATTAGCACTTTTTACCATTTGCACTAGTATTGGAGTCAGTTCTCCTTCAAGTGCTAGTAAGCCTTTTGCAAATGCTGCTGCGGTCATTTGTACCCTACCCTCATCACTCGCATAAATCTTGAGATCATGACGAAAAGTAGAATGGAGTCTCAACAAACCTAGTCCTTGTGCTCCTGCATAGTCACCTTGAAATAAACAGATAAAAAATTAACAATATTTTACATCGCATAATAGTTACAAAGTAACTGGAGTTAAATAGAACTTATTAGTTTTTCAAATTCAAAAATCTCTCATTAGCCTATGAATAGATTTATATGAGTTATTGTTCGCAAGTTACAAAAAAAGAATTTGTGATGTATCGGGATTATTATAGATTAGACTCTTTTAATATTAATTATTTATTGAAGTAATTAAGAAAGAATGAGGTGTGCACAATATAAGAAGGGATAGTGTATTCCTAAGCCGTAAATGTGTGCTCCCGTCTACGGTTGACTAAAATGTAAACTCAGAATCTCGGACGCACTCTCGCTCTATTCACACACATATGTCCATACTAGTAATTTACGTACTGTTGCAGGTAGAAGCCAGTAAGCGATAAAGAGAATGAGGCTGAGAGATCCTTTTTCATGCGCATCACTAATCCCCAATAATTGCCAACGAATGTCAACCGCGTCTAACCGTCATAAACGCGAATACACCAGAGACAATAAAAGCCCTATAATCCCAACGTATTTTGGTACTATGTGTTACCCGTTACCGTTTTTTGGCGTTTTACGTTCATTCGAACATGTGTTGTCCGCGTAGCTCGCTCATTTACAATATTGCTTGAGTGTTTTCTGGAAACGCCACGTGGGAGTTATGCGGATGAAAATTTAGGCTACCCTGCTAAAAAAGTTCCATTCATTCCTATTCGGGATCATTCATATTCAATGGTAATCAATGAACTGAATGGTTCAATGTTCCGATGACGATTGAAACTGAATGATTTTCAATAATACTTCATGGTAAGCATAACTAATAGTAAAACTTACCATTAAATTTAATAGAATTCAATCTTTCTGAATAATACTTTGTATAGGAATGGTTTCAATGATAATCTATCCAATTGCATTGAATGAATATCAATCACAGTTCAATAAAATAATTAATCAATGATATTTTATTGTATATCTTTCTATGAATTTTAATAATTTTTCGATACAATAATTGTCCAATCATATTTTATTGAATCATATTATATGGATATTAATTTTTATCCAATTACACGGTTGGTCAATAATATTTTATAGAATGGTTTTCCATATATGCCAATATGAGCAAAAGCAATACTGTAACTTTAGCAATATTTCATTTAATAGTTTTTTTTTAATCTTAATGATTGGTCAATATAAAAATAACCCAATCGCATTCAATGAGGTATAGTATTCTATAATTTCTTATGAAAGGCAAACAAAAAAATTTCAAATATTTTCAATGGAATATTTTTTAATGAAATCTAATGATTGGTAAATGCAAGTAAAACTCAATCGTATTCTATTGAGAAGTTGTTTGTATAGTTTTGAATAATCCTTCATTCTACAAACTTATCAAATATAATTTTATTCTATAATTTTTCATTAGATGATGAAAGAAAAAATTTCCATAATTGAATGATTTTTTATAAATTTGAATAGTTGTTCGATACTATAATTGAAGAATCGTATCTTATGCTTTGGATATTATAATTTTATATAGGTCATGAATGAAAAAACTCCGTATATGATTTGATTGAATAGACTTTCATCAATTTTAATAGTTTTTAAGTAAAAACATATTCGAATATAATTTTTAATGGGTATTCGATTTTTTTTCAATTGTAAATAAATGGTTTTTTATGTACATCAACAAATTACAAAAATTGACATGAACATTATTATTGGATTTCAAATTAATTGGGCATTTTGCATAAATATCTAGCATTTCTAACGTCTACCAAAATTATTTTGCAATCTATTTCACCAATGGGTTTGATGAGATCAATCTCGTTTTCGCTTTGAATTTTTCGGATATGAGTCACTCCTTCAAATGGATATTCTGGAAATACGTTGTACGTTTGTACAACAATGTATGAATCGTCGTCATGTTCGAGAATTTTTGTTATTCTAGCGTATTGTCCACTAGTAATTCTAACGACAGTATCATCAGTTTTCTTCGCTCGATTGTATTCTTCACTGTGATATACAGTGCTTTTATAAATACACTTTTTGTAAACCATGCACCAATCCTTAATTATGCAATAACAAACCATTCATACTTATTCAATGGGATTAATTTCTGCTATTGCATAATATTGGATTAATGTGATTTTCACATTAAAAACTATCGAAAATTATTCAACGTCAGAAAAAAAGTTGATTCTGCGATAACAAACCATTAATCCCCATTCAATTAGATTGATATTTTCTACTGGATATTATTGAGTTGTTACGACTTTCGTATTCAAAACTATTGAAAATTATTCAACGATACAAGACTTGAATGTTGCAATAACAAACCATTGATATCAATTCAATCAAATTGATTATCGCATTCGAATGGTTTCAAATCTTCGATTTGACCACGAATTTTACCATTGAAATCGATTGGGTAACATACATGAGAAATTTCATTGAATCCTATTGAAAACCATTACTTTAATAGTATATTTTTCTATTGATAATGATTAATCTCGATTAGGAATCAATAGTAATCTATATTATTGGAACCAATAGTATTTAATATCTTGACATTTCTTGTTGGATGAGGAATCATATTCAATGGTCATTTGGAGTGTTCAGATCGAAGATTGAAAACCATTCAGAAATTCTTCAATGGTTTTCAATGGAACTTTTATAGCAGGGTAGTTGTATAATGCATACTTAAAGCGTTGAGAAAAACGTATCAATTGCTATAGCGAGGAATATTACTAGGTATGGAGTGGTTATTATACAATGCGCACAATGTATATATGCAGTTTGCCGTGCCGAGTGCTGAATCGCAAATCGCCGGGCCAATGACTCTCCCCTATAGCGTCACTTGTTGCAACTAGCCTGGTTGCATTCGACAACCAGGACCATGAGCTCAGCAGTTTGATTCGAGGCCGTCTGGATCCGGAAAGACGTTCTGTCAAGTACAGTTTACACAGCTCAGAATTTGTACGAGAGCGAATCCGAGGTAGGCAGAGCAATCTACGAGCAACGCGAAAGGGTTAGAGAGAAGCCCTAAAAATAAGGAAATAAAGAAAGACGTGTGGAAATTTTCGTTAGGCCCTGCAGAACACGTCTTTGCCCACAGCATCAGAAGAAAACAAAACTATACACAAGGGAGGGAGCGCAAAAACTCGAGAAAAATCAGTCTTCGATACGGCAAGCTAGTACTTTATTTATCTGCCAGTAAGCGTGCGCAATTTGTATAGTTGCGTATTAGCTTACCAATTGATCATCGTTAAGCAATTTATTACCACAATGTACATTAAGCTTCAATAAAAAAAAGTATTTAATTCAAATTCAAAAGTTATCAAAAGATAAAATCAACTACTGAATCACTTTGTGTTGTCATTCCTGCTCATCTTGTTCACAACATTTATCAATATATTAATATTTTCTCTTTCTTTACAAAACGCATTTTATATTCTAGCATGCTTTTTGACTAAATGCTTCTTCGCATTTTTTCTAATTTGGATTGAGGTTTAATAGCATTATCAACGTTCGAATTTTATCTTTTTATACTTATACATCTGGTCAACTTATCTTTTCCACCATTTTCCAGGTGAAATCTCTGCCTCGAAATTGACGTGACAATTCCTTTGCAATCATTGTGTCTGTTACTTATACCTTTTCATACGTTTCACATTTTAATTTGAAAGGCCTTACACCAAAAGAAATCACAGTTGAGTTGAACGCCGTTCATGACAAGTCTGCCCCTATGTTTAAGACAGTTTATAACTGGGTAAATAAATTTAAACGCGGCCGTACAATAACAAAAGATGAACCTCGTTCAGGACGCCCCGTAGAAGTGAGTACGCCCGAAATGATTAACAAAATCCACGATATGGTGTTGAGTGATATAATATTAAAATTGCAAGAATTAGTTGAGGCCATAGGAGTATCAAAGGGTAGAATCATTTCAATTTTGTATGAAAAATTGGGGATTAAATAAATATTAGCAAGATAGGTGCCACGTTTGCTCACTGTTGAAAACAAGCGAACCCGCGTGGTTACCTCTGAGGCTCTTTTGGCACGCTTACATCTTAATCCGAAAGACTTTTGGCGTCGACTCGTAACTGTAGATGAAACATGGGTACACCACTACACTTCTGAAACCAAAGAACAGTCCAAACAATGGATTACCGCAGGAGAACCGGCCCCAAAGAAGGTACAGACAGTAAAGTCAGCAGGCAAGATTATAGCCACGGTTTTCTGGGATGCGTATGGAATCATCTACATCAGCTACTTGGAAAAGGGCCAGACGATCACTGGACAATATTATGTGTCATTATTAGGTTAGATGAAAGAAAAATTCAGAGGAAAACGTCCTCACTTGAACAAAAAAAATGACTCTTCAAGACAATGCTCGAGTTCACACGTGAGCAGTTTCGATGGCAAAAATTAACGATTTAAAGTTCGAATTAATTGACCATCCACCATATTCGCTTGATTGGACTTCCAGTGAATTTTTCTTATTTCCTAACCTCAAAAAATGGCTTGCCAGACAACGATTCATGTCGAATAAAGAAGTCATCGCAGAAATAAAAGCCTATTTTGAGGGTTTTCAGTAATCATATTTTTCTGATAGCTTAAAAAACCTGGAAGGCCGTTTAATAAAAGCTATCGACCTTCATGGAGATTATGTTGAAAAATAAAAAAAAATTACATACGCAAAACTTTTTTTTCCTTCTTTTTGTAAAGACTTATTGACCCCCCCTCGTATACAAGATACTTTAAACCATTTTTAGCGGCCCGCTTCACCTTGGATTCATAAAATAATGATTTATTGTTTTAACCCATTATCGCTTAAAACCATCGATCTTACGCCATGTTATCGACCACGAAATTCATACATAGATCAAAGATACCGTATCTTATATTTTTCGGCGTTCTAATTAAGAATCCGGGCTCAAATTTCAAAACTGTTGAATACAAAATTCAATATGTCGGTTTGTTTATAA